TGTCTTGATATTATTGACATTTAGATGAATTTTATGAAAATTTACCAAATTTTATGAAAATTTACTGAATTTTATGAAAATTAACTTAATTTTGCATAATTTTCATTCTATGCTGGAGAGGACTTAATTGGAAAAAGTCACAATCTTTCGGAGTAAATTGCAAAGATATGAAATTTGAAGATTAAATTGCGCAGAATCCAAAAGTAAGGGGTCGGGACTGTAATTTTACCGTTAACAGAACTTGCAGAGAAGGACAAAAACCCGACACGAACTCTTGAGGACGGATGCAGGAAAAGTGTCGGCACCTTGTTGAGGGTGTTGACACCTTGTAGCTCGTGCTGCACATCTTTCAGCTCATGCTCGACCTCTGCACCTCGTGTTCGAGTTCTGCACTTTGTACTTGGCCTCTACAGCTCATGGCTAACTTTGGCAGTAAGTGTTTGAGCTCAACAACTTGTGCTCAAGTTCTGCACTTCGTGCTCGACCTTGGCAGCAAGTGTTTGAGCTCTGCAGCTCGTGGTTGACCTCAGTAGCTTATGTTTGAGTTTTGCACTTTGTGCTCGACCTTTGCAGCTCATGGTTGACCTCGACAGCTCATGTTTGAGCTCTACAGGTCGTGGTTGAGTTCTGCACTTCGTGCTCGACCTCTGAAGCTCGTGGCTGACCTCGACTGTAAGTGTTTGAACTCTGCAGCTCGTGCTCAATTTCTGCACTTCATGCTTGACCTCGGCAGCAAGTGTTTGAGCTTTGCAGCTCATGGTTGACCTCGGCAGCTCATGTTTGAGCTCTGCACTTCGTGCTCGACCTCTGAAGCTCATGGCTAACCTCTGTTGTAAGTGTTTGAACTCTGCAGCTCGTGCTCAAGTTCTACACTTCGTGCTCGGCCTCTGCAGCTCGTGGTTGACCTCGGCAGTAAGTGTTTGAACTCTGCACTTCATGCTCGACCTCTGAAGCTCATGGCTGACCTCAGCTGTAAGTGTTTGAACTCTGCAACTCGTGCTCAAGTTCTACACTTCGTGCTCGACCTCGGCAGCAAGTGTGAGATATACAGCTTGTGATTGACGTCAGCAGCTTGTTGTTGAGCTCAGAAGCTCGTGTTGGAGCTCTACACTTCCTACTTGACCTCTACATCTCGTGTTTGAGCTCGGCAGCTCGTGTTGGAGCTCTACACTTCATGCTTGACCTCTACAGCTCATAGTTGAGCTCGGAAGCAAGTGTTTGAGCTCTGCAACTTGTGCTTGAGTTCTGCACTTCGTGCTAGACCTCTACAGCTCGTGGTTGACCTCGGTAGCAAGTGTTTGAGTTTTGCAATTCGTGGTTGACCTCAGCAGCTCGTGTTTGAGCTCTGTAGCTGGTGCTCGTGTTTGAGCTCTGTAGCTGGTGCTCGTGTTTTGCACCTCGTGGTTGACTTCAGCAGCTTGTGTTGGAGCTTGTCAGCACGCAGATCACGCTCCAGCAGGGACTTTGCAGCTCGTTATTGTCAAACTCCCAAGGGGCTACTTGGGGCAGCGTGTGGATGCTCTATTCTTTCCACGGATGGGGAATAGGAGGCTGTTGCAGATGTGCATGGTGTGTTCATGGGTAAATTCTTCGCGCCTCCAAATGGTTCGGTGATGCGACATCGGCGGTTGAATGCCTCTGCTCTCAACTGAGCATGAGATGAGACTGCTGGCTTCTCAGAGCAGCATGTGTTTTCCCGGTAGTGGTTTAACTATCATCCTGAAGGCTGGTGTCCAGTCCCTCCAGAGCTTTCATCTTTAACACTACCATCAGCTTTTTCTGTCATTGGAACCATAGATTTTTGCTCCCTAGTAGCTGATTGGAGGGATTTAATTTGCTACTAGCAAGCTGCCTAGTCAGGGACTTATCCCTTGGATTCTACAAAAACAAATTCAAAAGAGAGAGATTCCAATTTGGTTTACAGCAAAAGAAAATAAAACAACATAAAAAACAAAGTAAAATAATGAAAAGGTTAAGATTTGTTTCCCCAATAATCACAAAGTGGTAACCAAACTCAAATGGTTTATTGCCCAAGGAGGATGCTTGTGGTTGGAAGCTGAACTAGGAGAATGCTTGGTGCTGCTGAGCTGGGCGACTATTTTGTCACTGCCGAGCTGGAAGAATGCTTCTCGTTGCCGAGTTGGGAGTTCTTCATGAGCTGAGGACAATGGTATTTGAGCAACTCGGACTTTGATGATGAGGTCGGAGAGCTTAAGGGGTTGGTGGATGGTGCGGGTGGCGACAGCCATATGGCCAAGGAACCAATTGATGACTCCACCGACTCTGGCAAGGAACCAATTGATGACTCCACCGACTCTGGCAAGCTGCCTGGTCAGGGACTTATCCCTTGGATTCTTTTATTTTATTAAATAGGCTCTTGATAATTGTGCAAAGTTGAACCTCAATAATTGTGCAAATATACTCTTCTATTTATCTTCTTGTGAAAGCTTCTCTTATTTACAAGCGAATAAACCCATTCTGTAAATTCATCAAATCTACTTTTGCGACTCCAAAGAATCAGCCATGAGCCTTTCACTCATCTTCTCTTCCCTTCGATCAACCAGATCAACATACAAATAAAGCTTTTTATTCGAGTTCCCACAGACGGCGTCAAATGTAATTGCACCAAACCTGAAGTCCTTCTTCAGTCTGCGTCTGCACTCCGGATTGACCTGCAAAGCCTCAAGGTGGAACTCAGGGTAGACACTCCGATACTTAAGTCAGCAATAATCGAGGCTACCTTTAGAGTGGAGATAAAAGAGTTTAAGGTTGATTTTAATTACCTTTTTAATGTGGCCCCTGAGGGTATTTATAGGCTTTCGTGAAGTATCCACGTGGCTTGCTTAGCAGGATGATCAGAGTGTGACGTGTCCCTTAAAGAGATAAATTCGGGGTGGGGTTCAAATTTGAAACCGGGGGGTTATGTGATAGATCAAGTATGGGTATGTCCACTGTATTTACTGTGCAGCCATTTGATCAGAAATGCTGAATTTAACTTCACTTTAAATATTAAAGAATTGCTACAGTACGTCCGAATCCTTACAATTGTCCTCGTGCTTCTTCTGCGTAATTGCATAGCAATTTCAGCGTGGTCATTTTGAGATGCTTTCATAAAGTAATTTGGATTTTCATACACAGTTTCAAAAGGTACCATGAGTCTTGGTCGTCGTCCATGATTATCGTCCTGGTGCTTCTTCTGCGTAATTGCATAGCAATTTCTGCGTGGTCATTTTGAGATGCTTTCATAAAGTAAGTTGGATTTTCATACACAGTTTCAAAAGGTACCATGAGTCTTGGTCGTCGTCCATGATTATCGTCCTGGTGCTTCTTCTGCGTAATTGCATAGCAA